GTTTCATTAATTATAGGGAAAATACTTACTATTTCGGGGATTTCTATTAATCGTAGGTATAACAGCTCGTACACCTATGTCTATGCTCGTCAAAATGACGAGTATAGCACCAAAAGAAGCCTTGGAACCAGTATTGGTTGAAATGTTCCTAGGTTATGAATGGAAATTACTAAAAATATCTACTTCGAAATGGGATTCAACAAAGTAGAATTTTCCTCCCAAAGATCTAGAATGATCCTTAATGCGTTTGAAAAGATTAGTGTTATCGGGGACCACTGTCTCCCAGATGTTTTTCCATCGAGTGCTACCACTTTAGCACCAACTTGTCGCTTAAGACATTTCTGGAATCTTGACGAAGTAAACTTCGTAGAAATTCTAATAAATGGTATGCTAACGGGTACTGCCAAGGAATCAAAACTACTTTTGGTTTCTTATCTCGAAAAGGTTGGTAATGATGACTGACGGATGGTAAAGTCTTCGGTGGTACTCAATTACCAACACATTAGCTCTGTTTCTGGGCCACAAACTCGTCTTCAAGTTGGAATTTTCCTTGGCAGGAAGGTTCATTGTCTAAATCTAGATGCAGTCACCAAAATGTTCTTCTAAAAGGTCAATAAGTTATCTACGAAACCCAAAACTTAAGAAAAGCTAAAACACTTTTCGTGATTCGACGAGGTGGCAAAAATCAACATTTAGGCTCAAGAATCGAGAATGCTTACATCATGCGGGTGATGAACGCAATACTACCCAAACTTATGCTCTAATACCAAACTGACACACCCCAACCCGAAATACCCATTTGGACTCCGAATCGAGTTGTGCTAGCCGACACCTGGAAGGTGACGAAGCTATAAAGTGTAGTGACATGGAAAATGTATATAAATTTAAACCTAAAAGTGCCTAATTTTAAGAGTGCGCTTGTGAACGGGAATGAACCCATTTCACACGTGATGTCAGGGCATAGTAAAGTACAGTAAGGTAGGATGATAATCGTACCAACGAAGGTAATCCCAATACCAAGATTTGCCAAAGATCCTTATCAACACGAAATCTTAGCTACTAAAACCTAGAGAGGCGAAAAACAAGGTGAGTAGGCGTAGAAACAAATCTTTATAAAAACCTTTTCTATAACATATTAACCCCTCACTGTAAAACCAGTATAGTTTTCAAAATATACATACTACGCATAGTAAGAAAATACTTACCGTAGCTTGCAAAATCTCAAGAATTCATTACGGCACAATATCTCGTAAATAAGGCATGACATCCATAATCAGAAAATCTCACATAAGCAAAATATCTTAATGGGTGCTTATCGATACTTGCTGACACACGAGTTCATGCAGACGTATTTTGACATGAACGAGACTGGGTGTAATCATAATATACGCTCTAGTGCTACAATCATGTGAAGACTGACGTTATTTGCGATCACATACGAGTCGGAGTTGCCTATTGCAACCTGTATGACAGGACTGGCACCTACTTGGATCCAAGGCGAGCGTGTGATGCAGATGTGAACATACACATGAAAGACTGGCCCTGGCCTTGGGCAAGCACTAACACCAGGTGCAGCAAACGATGAGCAGATAACACAAATATAGTCATGCCATAGTGATTCGATAGTTCTTATCAACATACTAACATTCATAGCTATAGGTATAATTATGGCATCAAAGATTATAAACATACCTGTGCATCCCGTAGGATGTTGCATATTTCATAAATTCCGTAATTTTGCTAATTCTTGTAAACTTTAGTCTAATCCAGCCATACGTAAGAAATTCTTTTTCAAATGCATAAATGGAAACTATCAATCATATATATATATATATATATACACACACACACACACACACACACATACTATAAAAAGGAAAAATCCACTCACTTGAAGTTCGCGCTACAACTCTCTAGCATGAATATAGGCGTCACGAACGATCGTCACCTAGAATAAATATCAAATCATGTCTCAGAATTCTTATTGATAGAACACGTAACTTACATAAAACACATCCCCTAGGACATTCTAGAATTATTTGTAACCCATTGACCAAAAGTCAACTGTTGGTCAAAGGTCGACAATAGGGTCCACAACCCTACGTAACTCGAATTGGAACATCCGCACTTTGGATTTCCGATCCATAACTTCCTAAGAGTTTCAATAACCTTCTAGAGACCATCCTAAAGTTTCGGAACGATCCAACGGTCGAATCTCCACCAATCACTAAAATTAAGTGGCAGCCAACGTTTAGATTTACAAACTTAGAAAACCCATCCAAGAAGATCCGTACTTCAGATTCCCGATCTGTTAGCTCCTAATATCCTTAAATATTACGTATTAAAGTTTGGTAATGATCTAACGGTCGGATCGTCGTTTGCTACACTATTCAAGTGGCGGACCTTAATGGAATGAGGTTTAAATGATGGAATTTTGTTAATTAGACTTTACATATGGAAATGGGGTATCAAATTTAGTCTAAGAAGGTCTGGTGGTGCCTTGGCCCACGCGCGCCGCACCTTAATGGAATGAGGTTTAAATGATGGAATTTTGTTAATTAGACTTTACATATGGAAATGGGGTATCAAATTTAGTCTAAGAAGGTCTGGTGGTGCCTTGGCCCACGCGCGCCGCACATGACGGTCGGCTGCCACGACTGGCCAGAAAATTCAACTATTTTTAAAAATTCTCAAATTTTACAAGAATGAAGATCTCAACGAGTAGAGAAAGTTTTATACTTGTGGCCAAGTCCAATTTGGCCGGGAAAAGCTTCAAATCGCCACGAACCGGCCGGAACCCTAGAATTTGGGTGTTCCTCAATTCATCGAAATCGTAGCTTTGCTGCCCCTCAAACTTGTTTGGGCTTTGATCCAGGCCTCCAGGAGAGTTAAACAAGGGTGGTTATAGATGGAAAAAGGCGGAATTGCTGCCGACAACCGTGAATCCCGTAGGGGAGTTTTCCACCAAATTAAAACCAAATTCCTTCTCATTTTTGGTGGAAATGGACGAGGGAAGGCTAGGGAATTGTTTCTAGGTAGTGGTTTACCTTGATTTTCCGGAAGAACGATGAGAAAGTCACCGGATTCCATGAATCCCGATGGGTCGAGTTGAAGAAGAAAACTAGGCAAGGGATCCGATGTCCCTCTCCTCCCCTCCCCTCCTTTCTCCTCCTTTCCACTTTTATCATTGGCCGCATTCTTCCTCTCTCCTCTTCCCCTTGGCCGAATCTCTCTCCATTCTCTGCCAGAATTCTCCCTCCTTTTCTTTTCTTCTTTCCTTCTCTCTTCGTCCCTCTCCCTCAACTAATATTAAATAATAATGTAATAACAAAATAATGTTAAAATAATAATATAATAATTATAAGAAATATATAAAATAATAAATAGTAATCTTTACAAAAGTACTTTTGGGATTTGTAGTTCCGTAAAATCTTCATCGTAGCCCCAACTTTGATTATGCTTACGCCTACGCGTTCGTACCGTCGAGTACTTCATGAATACGGTAAGGTAAAATAGTAACTTGCACGTGTTGCTAAATGACGGTCAACTAAAGTCAATGATCTAGCCTCTAGGGCATTTTTGTCAATTCACTCTTTTGTCACATACATGCGTTCCTTGCAAAAAAAACCCCAGGGGTTCAAGCTTGAGAGATGGTTTACTTGAATAAGCTTCTCCATTTTCAATCCTGACCAAACGTGTACATCAAGCTGAAGATTAGAAGACCTCAGTTTTTTTTTCAGGCTTTTAGAAGAGAGTAATATTATTTGTTTATTTTCTTTTTTTAAGAGAAAAGTTTATCTCTAATTATATATACATATAGGGAATTGTTATTAGAACTCCAAAATTCTCATTCTAGACTCCTAACTTTCTATATTTGGAAAGAAAAATACACTGTGAGGAGTGTATAATAAGATTTTTGGAGTGCCAATAGCACTTCCCTATATATATATATATATATATATATATATATATATATATATTAAGGGTCATTTTAGGAATAATAGTGAGTGGGAAAATAATATTTTAATTTTTAAACTTTTATAGTGGATGTAAATATAACGTGGGTGGAGAAATAAAATAACAGGGTGGGTCTAGCAGCTCTCTTTTATTATGTTCTAAAATTTGTTCCATTTTTCCTATATTATCCGCTGCATCACAAACACACCAATGCGCCCCTCAGGGGGGAGGAAGGAAAACTAATGAAAAAGGCTTGAAAACTTTGAGTTTTAACAATAAAGACAAAATAAAGGGTAAATTGAAAAGTAACATGATTGACTTTTTAGTGTAAAAATGTGATTTTTCGTTAAAATGAACAGTACCGGAAATTTTTCGTTCAAGTTCTCAATAAAAACTTTGGATAACTTTTAAAATTCAATGATACAGTTTAAAAAACCGGATCACACGTTTAACAAGAATTTATTGTATCAATTTGAAAACGCAACCAATCACAAAAAACATAAGTTATCTTTTTCAAATGACCGTCAAATTTCATGAGCTTCACATGCCCTCAATGATGTCATACATGATGTGGTCAAATTTTGTGGTTGAGAATGGCGGTCATTTACACAGTGAAACAAATGGAGATGCGGCCACTCCGCATTAAAGGGATTCCCAGAACAGCCCAATGCTATGCTTCCCAATTCAACACCAACGCACACATGAATAAGGATGTTCCGCACATGTTGGGGAGCAGATGAATGTTTTTTGTTTCTTTTTCAACGAACTTTCAAGGGCGAGTGAGAAAGTTAGCTACCATTAAGCAGCCCATGAGAGGCATTCAGGTCAATCGAATTTATATATGCTTATTTTATTTTTTTTATTTTTTATTATTTGTCGGTAACCTTTCAGCTGTAGGAAAATGAAATGCGGATGGAAAGGTATCATGATCACCACTCATATAATTACAGAAATGCAGGCATACATAATAATTGAGCGTATGCACAATTTAATATCTTTACTTATCTTGTACTATATAAATATTATAATATTTTTTAATACCAGCAAAAATGTTAGGCAAAAACAAGGTCCCCTAAATCACATGCAACCTACACACTTGAATCATGACCCTTCTTTTTCTTTACGCGTCGGAATATTTTAAGATCCAACTGCCCTTAATGATATTGTGAATCAGTTCCCCTCCCAAAAAAAAATTATGCATGCCTCAGTATATATACATATACATATACATATATATTGAGTCTTCCACGCTCGGTCATTAATATTGCCACTGGAGAGCCAGAGAGAGAGAGACAGAGATTTTAGGGTTCCTTAATTCTATAGGGGCGGCTTATAGATGGGAAGGAGTCCTTGTTGTTCAAAGGATGAGGGGTTGAATAGAGGAGCATGGACAGCTATGGAAGACAAAGTACTGACTGAATATATCAGAAATCATGGTGAAGGGAAATGGAGAAACCTTCCCAAAAGAGCAGGTGAGATACACCCATACATATATCTGCGTGTGTGTCACACATGAACCCTTTCTTACTAGGGGTCTCGTTCCAGTATAGCAAAATTTGCTCAATTGAAACATATAATTGTGACAAACAGTTGTTCATTCCCTGTATATGTTTCAAAAGAAAATGTAGATCACGTAAAGACATTTCGTATATGTGTTTTTCAGGGCTCAGGAGATGTGGCAAAAGTTGCAGGCTGCGATGGTTGAACTACCTAAGACCTGACATCAAGAGAGGAAACATCACTCGTGATGAAGAAGAGCTCATCATCAGGCTTCACAAGCTCCTGGGCAACAGGTAGTTTGGTGTGTTTTTTTTTTTTTTTTTTTTTTTTAGTGTTTTGTTGTTTTTTTTGTGGTGGGGGTGTGGGTGGGAGGGGCCCGGCTTTATAATTGTTAACAAAAATTGTGCGAGTTTTTTCTTTGTATTAGTCTGGAATATGCGAATTTAAATTTTGACCGTCAACGAGAATTTACTAAACTTTGACTTTCAGTTGAAATGTCTCAACGTGAAATAACATAATGTGTTGAGGTTTTTTATTTTTGCCGTCTCATTTTGAGTTAGGTGCTCTACTTCGGGAACTTCGGATCCACTGCCCTTATATTATAAAATTTTAAAAAATTATCTTATCTGTACAGATGGTCTCTGATAGCTGGAAGGCTTCCAGGCCGAACAGACAATGAAATCAAGAATTATTGGAACACTACAATTGGAAAGAGAATTCAAGTTGAAGGTCGCTTATGTTCTGATGGAAATCGTAGGCCAACCCAAGAAAAACCAAAACCTACGCTGTCACCTAAACCTTGTACAAATATTTCATGCACCAAAGTGGTCAGAACCAAAGCATCAAGGTGCACAAAAGTGGTCTTGCCCCATGAGTCCCAAAAGTTTGGTCACAGTACTAAACAAGTGGTCAATGCAGCACCAATACTAGACCAGGCGATGAATAATCCGATGGTGGGGATTGATGAACCTTTGTTGCCAATGTCATTTTTGGACGATGAAAACAATAATTCGTGTGAGTTTTTGGTGGATTTTAAGATGGACGAGAATTTTCTATCCGATTTTCTTAATGTCGATTTCTCTGTGCTCTATAACAATGAGGGAGCTGGTAAAGCTGCTGCTGCTGCTACCACTGAAGACACGAGTAATAAGTTGCATGGCCCAGATCTCCGATCATCTATGGCTCCTATCATTGAATCTGAATTGGACTGCTGGCTCGTAGATAATTAATACAGATCATTAATCAAATAATATATCTTAGTTCAACCTTCAAAACCCTAATTAGCTTATTATATGCATAATTCCCTATTAATTATGAGAAAAATACTTGTAATTATTGTGTCCATGTTTGTGTACGTGTGACGATGATGATGTTGACTTTGATTATCTGGTAGTCAATGGGAACAACGGCCCAAGTTTCTGATCATTGAGAAGTCTAGCTACTATATTTTATGGTGATCTACAGTAAGAGGATATTCTGCCGTGTTAAAAAATAATTCCTCAGAATTCTCTCTCTCTACTGTATGTAGTTCTTCGTTGCAATAAAATCAATGAATGAAATCGGCCAGTTTTAATTGATTCAAGTTGTCACATCTTCTTCTCCTTCCATTTCATTAACGTAAGACTAACAATTTTATACCTATTATACATATGGTGTTTTACCACAATGACGATATACATATTATACGTATGGTGCTTTACCATAATAGCGAAAAATAATTGTCACTATAGAAAAAAAAAATATATTACAAGACGAAAAAACTTTGTCTGTAAAATATTTTGATGACGGAGTATCGTCAATTAAGTTTTGTAGGGTCAAGATCGTCGCACAGAATTTTACTCGACGGACATTCACTTTCGTCGGCTAGGTTAATACTTACCCGACGAATGCGTTCGTCGTGTAGGACAAACATTATGCAACAGAGGTGATTTGAAACGACGAACTGTAACTGGTCATCATTTTATATTAAAATAATATAGCGAGATAATCCGACGAACTTTCTATCGGTTAAAAAGATTTTAAGCAACAGCAATTCCGTCGGGCAGGTTAGCATGATATTAAATATATATATATATATATTTTTTTTTTTTTTTGGTGCTTCATTAATCAATTAAAAAAATAATTGCATATAAAAAAATATTAAATACGAAGATTAAAAAATTATATTGTACAATTGAAACTAAATATATACAACTAAAAAAAATTGTTCGTTCAAATATATTACATAAAAAATTAAAAATAAAAAAATAAAGGAATTGTACACGTTCAAAAATCTTTTGGGCCTAAGTTTGATTATTTAGCCCGCTCAAGGTCTATCACAACCAAATAATCAAGGGGGCTAATGTTGCAGCCGAAAAATGTCACACGCAAGCTCAACCAAGCCTTGAAGCCCAATTGTTATGCAATTCTCTATTCAAACCCAAATATATACAAATGTGCGGGATTGCGGAAGAAATATATTTACGAACATGCTATGCTACTGTAATTAGACCGGATTACACCATGCCTATTTATCACTCTAATCACTATTCATGCTATGATAAGCCGAAGTCACATGCCCGGGGCTTGTCAAGTGAATTGTGGTGGGGATGGTTACGGAAGTTCATTGAACCTATGTGGAGTCAAGATTGTGGAAGACTTTGGGTTGTTTGGGAGCCAAAAAGTCCAAGCACATAACCTTTGTATTCCATGTGGGTAAGTTTGAGAGATAACTAGCCTAGTTTGCCTCTTTCCCTAGCAAGCCAACCTCTTAGTTAGGATTAAACTAGATTCCAACATTAAATGCACTCTAAGGTCAGCAAGTCAGGCATTTAATGCTTTCCCCTCCTTGCTTGCATAGACAATCAATGAGCGAAAACTATGAGGTGTGTTGCCTAAAGTAGCACCTGCGAAAGGCTGACCCGAGAAAGCCGTGCCTCCGGAAGAAGCAAAATGCAGGTTTTAACAGTACAGATAACTTACAACAAAAGAGAAATAGTATGAAAGCTAGGGAGAAAGGAAGGGGAAGACCAAGCCACAAAGGAGATCCCCTTGAAGCCTAAAGAAGAACCATTCACGTACAAAAGGAGGGGATGAGCCATTAAGCAACGAAAGGGAGAATAAAGACACAACCGAGAAATACCACCTAAGAAACATATCCAGAGAACCCCATTAGACCAGAAACATCCTTTAAGCCTCAAGAATCATCATCCATGCAACCTTAGTATTTCCCCCACAACCTTCCACTAAAAATTCCAACCATCATAAGCCTTGTTATCGCTCTAGGAAAGTCCAAATCATCCAGCCAAGAATGTTGTGCAACTATGCCAACTTTCTCTCTCTCTCTCTCTCTCTCTCTCTCTCTCTCTCTCTCTCTCTCTCTCTCTCAACATGCTAAACTGATGAACTTCTAACTTCCACATCATGCCTCACTTGAGCAAGCCATTAATTACTTAATCATGCTATCTTCGAGGCATTTATCTAACCGGGATATTTCCTAAGACAAACTAACTCCTTTGAGATATTCTGGGACTTGGTATGAAACCGAACCAAGGGAGATAAGAGGACGTTCTCAAAAGTCAAATCCACATCGACCTAAAAGTTCCCCAACAGTTGCTTTTGTCGGAATGATTGATATTTAAAATGAAAATTTAAAAAATGTCAAACACTAGTTTAGATGAAATATAAGAGTTTTTCCGATATTTAATTAACATGTTAGAAATATCGACGAAATTTGTGGAATTTAGCAAAAATTTAAGAGTTTTTCCGATACGTAGTGAATTTAGATTTCACCCTCCTCTTCATATCTTTTTCTGAATTTTCAGACATTTCTACGAAAATATCAATCATATCGAAGAAATTTCAAACATTGCTACTAACGTACCGATATTAAAATACAGTAATTATTTATTTATTGTCAGAATATTATAATTAATTAATGAGTCCAAGCCAATGAACCAAACTTAAACAGATCGGGCCGAGTCGACGAAGCTCCAAATCCAATAGGACTAACTGTATCGGTTCTAGGAAAGCCTCTTTGAAACCCATTTCCCAAATTCCGGTCCCCAACAGAATCAAATTGAAATTCCAATTCGAATTGAAATTCCGATTCTTTTGACAAAGTTCAATTGAATTAAACTCAATTACCATATATTTGAGGCGTTCGATCGGAGATCGTCTGCAATGGCTACCACGGAGTCTCCGGGTGCTGTTAAAAAAGGTGAGACTTTTGGATTTCTTACGAAAACCCATTAATTCTCAATGATTAATTGGGGTTTTAAATCCTTTTAAATTGTTTTGATCGGTTTAGATTTTGGGTTTTCTGTTCTTTGATCGATGGTGTTTTTATTTTCTGGGTTTATAATTTTGTGCAGTGGTTGTTCATCTGAGAGCTACTGGTGATGCTCCTATACTCAAGCAAACCAAATTCAAGGTATGCCTTTTGTGGTCACAGACTTACAGTAGTGTTCATGAATCTTGAAATTGTATTCCACTTTATTTTATCATGGTTTATGATGAAGATTTTTTGTTTCAATAACATTGTTGAAATTCTTTAAATTTGTTTAGGGCATATGTATTTGCACTGCTGATTTATATGAGCTTCGATGTAGAAATCTGATTTGGTATGATCTCCATATGGGATGTTGAAAGTGAAATTAACCCTTTACTTTCTACGAAATTTTAGATTTCAAGCACTACGTTTGAGCCCTGCTTCTTTTAATTTTACTTTTTTGGTCGCTGGTTTTATGTTTGTTGCTCTTGCTTGATTACCAATCTGGTAGTTCTTTCTATATATTGAGACATGCTAGAATTCTGGTTAATTCATAGATCTCTAGCCATACTTAATAGCCTCAGGCATGTGAATGTGATAAAAGAGTAAGTTTTAGCCATATCGGTACAATGACAGGAAAGGATTAATTTTGCATACCGTATTGAATGAAAGTTTGTAGTATAATGGAATATATCTTGAATGATGCTTAATGATGGGAGTTGATGCATTTTCATCTGTCTTGAGTCGTCTCTGCAATGGATTAAAAGAAACAATAGATATTATGTCGGGACATCTAAATTCAAACAGCTGCTTTTTACCTCTTCTAGAAATCTTGTGCCACTGGTACTTGAAATTTTTTTTTTTTTTTTTTTTCTGTTTTGTTATTTTTGTAATGGGATATAAAACTCAGTTCTCCTCAATGGATAGATTCTTGGAACTGACAAGTTTGCTAAAGTGATTGAGTTTCTACGAAGGCAACTTCACAAGGAGACCTTGGTAAATGATAAATGATCTCATCATTGTATCTTTAGATAATTGTAGTAGTAGTCAACAAGTTTTGGTGTCCTATTCTCATCTTCCTGGTTTTGCAGTTTGTATATGTAAACAGTGCATTCTCGCCGAACCCAGACGAATTGGTGATTGATCTGTATAATGTAAGTTTGTATAACTGAAGAAATATTATTATAACTTGATTTTTAAAGTTGTGTAGTTCAGTTTATCAGCTCCAAAATCTTTTGGTGGAGGGAAGTGACAAATTGCATCATTTGTTAAGTGTGGTTGAGATTCTAGTGACGTGTTATGCTCAACCTGTTTAGGATAAATGCAGGATTCTACTAACTTGTCTTTATCAACATTGCAGAATTTTGGTTTTGATGGTAAACTGGTGGTTAACTATGCTTGCTCCATGGCATGGGGCTGACACTCAGGTTCGGGCTGGCGCACATATAACTATTCTTAATGTAAGTAAGTAAGCACTTTACGCATCAGTTTGGAATTACTTTTCTGTATTTTTTTTCTTAGTAAGTATTTTCTTTATCTCGATATTATTAGATATGTCCTCAAAATACAATACCAAATTAGCCTGAACAATCACTTCTCTTCCTCTCCCAAAAGATAATGATCTTTTGAGTGTTCTTTGATCACTGACTTATATGAGCACTGCTTGTTCAGGTGAACACAAAAGATTTCATTCTGCACAAGCAGAGGGAACGTGAGTTTTCGTCAACTGAAACTTCTGAGCAGGTGGAGATACAGTAGAAAAGACCATAGTTCAAAACATTTTCTTTTTGTATATATGCTATGATTTTCTATTGGTAGGGATGTAACTTTTGTTACTTCTCCATCAAAATCCAAGATGTAATGTCAAAACTGGATTCGTAATGTTATTATTCATCAAATTTACCTTTATTCCATATTCGAAAGTGATTTTGTCGATCTAAGAGCATCCTCGAGTGATGCTGTAAAACAACCAGAACTCTATTTTAAAGAGTCAAACTCATAAATTTCATCTTCAATTCAAGAGTCGATCCGGAATAAAATAAGAGAGAAGGTTGTTTTAGAAAATAAGTGGATTGGGTTTGAATTGCCTTCATAATTGGAAGGCCAAATAGCTAAAGTGGTCTCTGAGATATGCATAACACATCACTTTGGTCCTTGAGATTGAAAATCAATAGAAATGGTCCCTGAGATTGTTCATCATCCATCATTTTGGTTTTGTAACTCAATTTTTTCTTAATCAAATTCGATCCATAATATATTAAAATGAAAATAGGAAGGTATTGAACAAGATTATACCTATTTGGAAGCCCAATGGTTGCTAGAGATGGCCAGAAAATATCCTTAAAGATGATTGGTCCGCAGAAAAACTGGAAAACTTGCCGGAAACTGGGTAAACTTTAAACGTTCATTACTTCTTCAATACTAAACAAAATTGAGTGATTTAAAAACAAAAATCATACTTCTCGACGAGACAAAGAGAATGGTACCTTTCTTGATGGCTAACTCCTTGTGGTTTGGTCGGAAAACGGCTCGAAAGTGGCTAACTCGAAAATTGTTAGTCACTTTCGAGCCATTTTCCGACCAAACTACGATTAATTAGCCGTCAAGAAAGGTACCTTTCTCTTCTTCTAATCGAGAAGTATGATTTTCGTTTTTGAATCACTCGATTTTGTTTAGTATTGAAGAAGTTATGAACGTTTAAAGTTTACCTAGTTTCTGACGAGTTTTCCAGTTTTTTCACGGACCAGTCAAGTTTGAGGCTATTTTTCTGCCATTTTCGGCAACCATTGGGCTTCAAATAGGTATAATCTTGTTCTACACTTTCCTATATTCATTTTGATATATTATGGGTCGAATTTGGTTAAAAAACGATTGAGTTGCGAAACTTTGAAACTTACCAAAGAGTTTTTAACGAAATGACCAAAATGATGGATGATCGATAATCTCAGGGACCACTTTTATTGATTTTCAATCTCAGAGACCAAAGTGATGTGTTATGCATATCTCAAGGATCATTTTGGCTATTTAGCCTAATTGGAATGAGTTTGAACCAGAGTGGTTGTTCAACACTCTAACTTCTAATGTAAACGTTTCGATTGAAATTTAATTAAAGTTTGTATCGTTTGGAAAGAAAAAAAATATATAATCAAAGTTTGCTAACAGATAATGTTGTTGGAGATAAAAAGCTAATTTGAGTAAGTTAAATGGTTTTTAATTACAATATTCACTTGCTAGTTTAAAAACATCTCTAAAAGGATAAGTTACTACTTCTTCAAGTTAGCAAATTGGGATTCACAATGTATTTTATTCAAAAGTATTGTTTAATAAATACAATGAAAATAAAATTTGGGGTCTCATAAGATAAGATAAAGTTAAGATATGAATATTTTAAAGTGGGATGAAATTTAGAGAGTTGGTTGAAAAGTGAGTTGAGTTAATAATTTTTAAAATAGCATAAAGGTGCCAAATGTGTATGCAAAGGATTTTTAGTGAAAAAATTTGTTAAATCCTTTAAGGATGCTCCAAAAAAATTGAGTCTTTTATAGATCCTCTAATGCTTTCCAGTTGTCAAAAAAGCCTAAAAAAATTAAGTAAAAGGAAAATGTTACGAAGATAGAAGGGATGTAGAGCATTTTCAAAAAAAATATCAAATTTTATATAAATTTTAAATTTGACAATTTATGTGACACTTTGATATCTTTATATGTCAAATTAAACTATTATTTTATACATTAATATATTATAATAAATATTTTAAAAATATATATAATAATTAAATGTATTCAATAATAAATTAAAAAATGTTTTGCAGCTACTATCAATTTTGACAGTAAGAGTGAGGGTTGTCAATCCATGTCACGCCACATCAATTTGACTTTTCGGTTTAAAAATAATGTTGCTACCTCTTTTTACTATTAGTGATAATTTGGACATTTTGAGATCGACGTCCAACCAGTTAACGGATACATCATACAAGTGGGAGAAAGATATTTAGAGAGATTTCTGCATAGCAGGGGCTTAATGGCAATGTTCCTAAGAGTTGATGGAAATTTTGTATTTTTCCTTTGGTTTGGGATAGACGAATTACTTGGTCTCTGAATTTCAAACTAAATTGAGCAGTGGCTAAAAAATCAGTGCAATACAAGTTCTAAGAAATTGACCGGAAGGTTTGGCCTTCCCTTTGGCAAAAGATGACATGAGATTAAATGATTAAAAGCGTTTATTCTTGTGTTTGATATTATGTGTTCGATGAAGGAGAGTTTGGATTTTTTATTCTAGTATTCACTAGTGTATGCAACATACTAAAATTTTTGGCCGTTGGATCTTTGCTTATTGCATCATTGGTTACACGTCTAATCCTTCATTCATTTGGTGCATACCATACACTAGAAAATAAGATAATTTTCTAAGTTTTTAGATATATAGATTGAAATTTCTAATGCACTTGTGGAGAAGTTATCACTATGCATATTCATACTTACAAATAATTAATATGAATTTATGTGTGACAGAACAGACAAATCGACTTTATAGGAACTGATATTATATCTGTGAAAGGTATAATAAGCAAATGTGTGGGTGTACTGCTTGTCTGGCCAACAATTTGTGGACCTATATATGGATGCAACGTGAACAAGTATTCAGGCTCGAAGGACCACATCTCTTTTAGCGTTTCCGGGGAGAAGGACTTGTATGGCATGGGTTTACCATCACGTGATGTTCCGTGCTAATAATACATGACATGTGCTAGCTTTTTTCTACATGTCCTTATGGTATTGGTACGAAATGTCATTGTGACAGTAAACCTATGTCATACAAGTTGTTCTCACCATAGTTGAAGCTCGAGTTCATGAATAAACTTTGATTGCATGGTGTCCAAATTATATATACTCATACATAAGTCATCCCATTGTCAATGACTTTCAACATCAACGAATAGAGGATATGATATGAACATCTATAAGGTAATCACTAATCACTGACCAAAGGAAAATACCACAAACCTGTATTGTAATGAAACTTGAAACTAGGGGCTTGTTGACCAAAATATCTAGAGGATTTAAATTCAAATATAAACAATGAGAATGTTATCGTATGTCGTGGGCATGTGGAGCATTTCAGCTCTTGAATGACGCTCAACTGATGACTAACACTTCTCCATAATACAAATGAGATATTGTTATTTGGATATTCAAGTTTGTTTTGGTGTCTTTAACACTAGTATATAGACTAATATAATAAAATTTTGTAGTCTCTAATTAGTCTTCGCCTTATTAGTAAATATAAGCATGAATCACGACTTCACCAGTAGTTTTTGTCCATGACTTGTGTCAACTTAATTTAGATCGGTAAACACATAGCAAAACACACTGTTTTTTCATGTTAATTAACATCTCATGGTTGCAATTTTCTGATGAATAAAAAAGAACAAATAATTGTGGAACAAGTTAAAGATTTGTCCCAGGAATGTCTGGCAAGCAAATGGTAAATTTTAAAAAGCATGCAGAGATGCAACCTTTTGTCTTATCGTATATCACAGATTTATGCACTAACAATTGTCCACAATATAATATGAACAAACTCAATTTCTCCTTTTTCGTTACTCTTCGCCATCTTTGCTTTAAATCTTAGGAAAATTAATGAAAATAATTTGAAAATATTGAATTTTAACAGTTAAAATAAAATAAAAGGTAAAATAAATAGTATCGTGATTGATTTTTTAATATAAAAATATAATTTTTTATTAAAATAAATAATACCGTGATTTCTCGTTAAAACTATTTTAAATCTTCCACTATTAAAAAAGAATCTCTCTGACCAACTGGGAACTACATGACAAGCCATGCAGTGATTAGGCTTCTGTTCATCATCTTTCAAATGCTATCTTTCAACTTCATTATTTTGCCTGCAGGTTCACTGTTTTCCACTGTACAAATATTTTACATCTGCGTGTATATATTATATATGGACAGAGAGAGAGAGAAAGAGAGAGAGAGAGAGAGAGAGAATCCTGTATGTTTGTCCTCGGTCTTTGTCGGGGGACGAAAATTTAGAAAAAGGAAATGAGTTTGCGAAGACCATTCTCCTTTCTTCTACCTCATGTTGGTATGCGGATGAAATTTGGAAATTTTTACGTCCACATGATAAGAGAGTAATTCTACATTTGGATGAGTGCTCACACCACTACACAATGTAAACCATCCTTTTTTTTTTTTTCATTCGTTTTTCTTTATACAAGCTCTCATTGTGTGATCGTCTTTATACAAATAAATATAAAATAAAATTGAACCAAATACAGAATTGATAAACTAATTCATATTGTCGACTATTATTTAATTACCGGAAATATTGTATATATTTGCCAAGTATATATATGTGTGTGTGTGTGTGTGTGTGTGTGTGTGTGTGTAGAAGAAAGGGCAGAACTAAACTCATCCAAGTTTATATTGATGTACAATAGTTTCAGCGCACCGTCATGAACTCCATTAGAGAGTCATCAAATATATATGTAACCTTGTAAAAAAGAAAAGGGAAAAATAGCTGACAGACGGTGAAATTTTGACATACAACCCTGAGTAATTAGCATGAAACTGCACTATTGGTCAGTTAAACCATCTGCCATCATCTTGTCCAAGGAACTTGCTCACCCACTCCAAATTCAAAGGCCCCTCATTGGAGAAATCAAAGAAATCATCCACATCAATATTAATGTTGGAGTTTTGATCACCTCCTTTAGATGCAGCACTTGTAGTACTAGTACTAGTAGCACCCTCTTCCGATGACGAATCTTCTTTCATTTGTACACGATCCTTCTGATGATCTATGGAGATCATTTGTCTTGTTAAATTGGCTCCATTTTGCTTTTCCTTCTGGTTCATTCTCTTGCTCAAATGAGAATTCCAGTAGTT